AATCGCGCAGCCCTCAATGTAATGTGGACGAGAAAGATAATTATAATATTCTATAGAAATAATTTCATATTGGTGATTCCTTTCCAGTCAAGGGATAAGTGAATCAGAATGATGAACGCTACTTGTGTTTAATATAAGTTTTGGCACGAGGCCTTACCTCTTTATAATAATAAGTAATATAAGCGAAATAAAAAGTCGACGAAGCGGAAATTTTTTCCAAAATGCGGAAAAACAGCGGAAACACATTTTCCATCGCATTAGTTCATGTCTCACTAATTGCAAAGGGTATCAAAAAAACATTTTCTAGCACTTTATGGTGGCTCCCTCAAGGAACACAGACGAAGTACAAAACATCATTTAACTCCCAATTTGAATCAATATCGGCTTTTTGTGGATGCGCGTTTCTGATCAGCCGTCATAAATTTCAAGAGTCATGTATGGCAGGATAAAATTTAGTTCGAAAATTTCCTGCCTACGACAGTACTTAATGGTTAAGATTATCTTTCCAAGTTGACATCCTTGAAGATTTAGTACTTCAGTATGGAAAAAGATATCAGGTTACTAACGGTCGGTATTCTGAGACAGATGTCCACTTATATCATATCCACAAGAATAAGCTGCGAATTTTACCTAATATTAATTTTTATACGGAAAGTCGCATCGGACAAACTTAGTATTAGTGAAAGATTCACTTTCGTCACAGTGACTGATGATATGCTCTTTTATTTTTATTTTTTTTTTATTATAAGCTTCTACTGCCCGTAGACTGGCGTTGCTCTTCGAATAAAAAATTAACAAGAAAACGGAAAACCAACAATAAAGATAAACAATATCTGAAAAAAAGAACAACAAATATAGAAAGATTCACTTTCGTCACAGTGACTGATGATATGCTCTTTTATTTTTTATTTTTTTTTCCAACACACTATCTCCCAGTTTGAGGTGCGCAACATTACCCCATAACCTGAAGATTGTAACTATCATGGCGAGACCAAGCCATGCATTGACTTCCTCCATGCGGGCCGACGGAAACGGGTCTTAAATGTACATTTGACGTACCTGCCCACGCAATCAGCTGGCTAGTAGTGACTAGATGGACGTCACAGGCCGGAATATACAGCACCTAAGGTGTCCCCATATACCCCTTGCATCGAACTGGTCAATGATACGTAATGGACTTTAATCGACTCAAATTCACTGGCAACTAGTGTGTTGGTTTTGTATGTTGTTTGTCTAGAATAAATGTTTCTGGTACAAGAGCTTTGTTAACGTTACCTTGTGATTCCGTGAGGCCCTACAAGAAAAAGAATTCATCAGAATTCGAATTCGAACTGGGATTCTACGAGAAATCGAATTGGAATTAGGATGAATACCTTACTGTAAACGTTTGGCAAAAATAAAAGTTGTATCAGAATTCGAATTCGAATTGGGTTGAATACCTTACTGTAAAAGGTTGTAAAAGAAAATTTTGTGCAGAGTTCGAATTCGAATTATGATTCTACCAGATATCGAATCCGAATTGGGAGGAATTCTTTACTGTAACCGTTTGGAAAAAAAAAGTTTTTCGTCGAACTTCAGTTTTTCAGTCGAAACAGTTTTGCAGAAATCCCAAAAAATGACCCAAGCCTTTCTTACTAATGCAGGATTGTAGCGCGCAAATTTCTGATTAAAATGATACATTCCCCAGCTCTACGCGACTTTTCTTTGCAAAATTATGTAATTTTTGAGAAAAGCCTTAAATTAATCTTTTCCTTCTTATGTCTGTAGCTTTCAGCTGACAATGAACAATTTAGGGCTCGTATCATAAATTATATAATTTTGCAAAGAAAAGTCGCGTAGAGCTGGGGGATGTATCATTTTAATCAGAAATTTGCGCGCTACAATCCTGCATTAGTAAGAAAGGCTTGGGTCATTTTTTGGGATTTCTGAAAAACTGTTTTTCCAGAAGACTGGATCTTCGAAGAGCTATGGGCAGGTCCCAGGATAATATGCGTAATCAGCATGGTCGATAACCTATAACCCACTAGATGTCGATCGAAAAGCTTTTAATCACGTCTAAAGGTTCCCTCGTCAGTGCAATGTTTTTTCGTTAAAGTATCTATTTTCCATTACCTATCAAAAATAAGCTTTTATAGAGATATACGCTTGATAACATAAGGCGTAACATCTCACGAGGGTCCCTTTCGAGGTGATTAAAAGCTTCTTGATCGACATCTAGTGGGTTATAGGTTATCGACCATGCTGATTCGGAATATTACCCTAAGTTGTACCCTAGGTTCTAATGGTGTCAACAGTGATGGTGTTTTGATCAAACCAGATTTTAGAACTTTCTTTAACTAGACTTTTGCTGGGTGATGTATATTCTGTATAAGAGTGATTCTGTTGACTTTTCTACAGTTTCTAAAGAAAAAAATGAACCTGAAGAAGAAAAGAAAAGGGAACCATTGAAAGAATCACATTTTGCCACACACGTATGCTGTCTCTCTTTGTGTCAGTTGGGAAGACGACATGGGATTGCTGAACTTTTGAAACAGAACGTCAACAGAAAACAGGGTTATAATACGAACAGAGTAAGTTTTGATTTATCTTGAAAACTGAGCATACTCTTATTATAAAAGAGTCTCTTTTTTTAAGGAGTAGAATCTCACCGTCTGAGAGTAAACATTACAATCAGTAAACGTAAACTCGTGGTAAAATGAGCAGCTCTTCTTCCAAAACAGCGCATTTAACCTCGACACATGATGACGACAAGCAACTAGTCATCAACTATTCCTGGAATACAGTCGATATGGCAACGCTTAAAAAACAACTTATTACATTCGAACAGAATGTCGGTAGTGTGTGGCAAACAATTAGAGCAATGATGATTAGAATTGATCAAAAATTTGCTTCTTATTTAGCTGATACGTGTTTACATTTAGAGGACTTGTCTCTAGCTGAAGTTTTTCTAGAACACCATCGAGTATTTTCAATCTTACATAAATTATGTTCGTGTTTAATTGGTCGTTTTGATAAATTGAAAGATTCTGAATATGATCTCCTGTGTCTGATTGCACTGTTAGATATCAAAATTCTGAACAACGAGTGTATTACAAACCGAGAACTACTTTATGATACTCTCTATATGGACTTCAATTTGGGATATAGTGACCTTATCATTCTGTTCGAATGTTCAAGTATCAAGTCAAAAAACTTAGCTTACTTATGGCTTGAAGTGCTGAGATACATTCAGTATCGAATTGGTAGTGAGAAATCAAATGCATGGGAAGTACGGTCAGATTTCAAGAAGCTATCCGTCTATATTACTGAACAACTGAAAGAGTGTGTCTTCGAGGATGACGCAAGACGTTACGGTTCTTTTCTATTTTATATAGCACATTCGCCTTATGACAGGACAACTCCAGTTGACGAAACAGTTCTAACTCATTGTCGTCAGTTTATTTGTTCCAAAATGAAAGATATTGATCAACTGTCCTTCGACGTTTTACGATGTTTCATTGGAGGTTTGTGCTTTCTAAACAACAGCTCCACTAGTAAGAATTTGAGAAATTACGATGAAGAATATCACTTATTACTTTTATCAATTTCACAGAAAGAAAAGTATCAACAACAACTGCTTTCAAAGAAGCTAAATGATGAAATCTTGTTACTTCATAGTATTGTCAAATATTTTGCGAAAACATATACTTATCATAAAGAAGCCAAAGCACTACTTTTAACTAAAGCAGAAGAACTTCTTGTTTTGCTTAAAATTACTACGCACCAACCAACTAAATACCATCTTTGTTATTTACTTTTAATGGTAGTTAATGAAAAAACTTCTGCTGATGTGGTGACACTATGTTTTGAATTTATTGAAAGTATGACAGCAACAGTAAATAACAAGGAAAATGGATATGCCATAAAAACGTCTAAACTTCTTAATGAACTGAGTGCGGCATGTCAGCGTTGTGAATCAGTCAAAGTTACAGTACTTAAACTTAAGAAAATCGATGTTATATTAAGGTTAATGGAAAAGATTGAAAACCACTTTCACGGTAAGGTTTGCCGCAAACTCCGAAATCGATCACATCTCAAAAAGTGTCGAATTCTGAGTGAGAATACGTAGTTTTTTTATCGTTCCAGCACCTGGCCTTCAAGTCCAGTGACCTCTCGACAAGTTCAGGTTCCAGCGGTTCATATTCACAGCGCATTTTTGTTCTCAACTCTTGCACGGAGAAAGAATCGATCCGATACAAAACTTTTAGCGCATACGGACATGCACCGAGTAATTGACTAAGGATTTTATATTTTTTCCAAGACCTGGCGTTTCGTAAATTGCTTCGCTAAACGTTTTCTGAGTCGCTTAGAATGCAGAGCAAACATTTCTCTAAAAGGTGAAAGGTTGAACAGCTCTGTATGGTTTGCTTTGAGATTTTGGCAGTGATGCCTCCATAAAATACTCGTCGGGTACTCGATACTCGTTTACTACTCGATTATGTGTCCATGAGATATCGCTGCCGAAATCTCGAAACAAATCATACAGAGCTGTCCAACCTCTCATTGTTTAGAGAAATGTTTGCTCTACATTCTTACCGAGTCAGAAAATTTTTAACGAAGCAATTTACGAAACGCCAGGTTTTGGAAAAAATAAAAAATCCTTAGTCGATTACTCGGTGCATGCCTAAGCGCATACACTTCGACCTATTCTGAGTAGAATGTCGACAGAATCAACTCTCTAGACTTCTCTCATCGCATAAGGTACTCCTTTCAAAATGGTAGAAAACACGAAAACGAGTCATCTTCCAATCTGTTTTCCTGTCGAAAACAGGTTGGAACATCAGTCAGGTTTGAAACCTTGATTTGCATGTCATTCTACTCAGAAATGGGCACTTTGTATGATCTAAAATGTTCAGCTTATTACGATGTTTCCTGCCTGAACCACTGGGAACCAAAAAGCTCTCGCAACCTTAAACGCCTCTTTTCGTGCGCAGTCGACATCATGTCAGACTTTTAGGAAAATGAAAAAGCACAGATTTTGACCCAGAATTCAATTCTCCTTCGAATGAGCTGGGTTTCACAGCAGACATGCTGTACGATCGGTTTTTTTACTTATATGTTTAGCCATCTGCGAACTACTTTCCGTTCTATCCACCGATGCAGAAGTTCGTCGGTTGATGAAAGCAAATTCAACATTCACAAAGTACATAACTTCCTCATCGTATAAGTGTTACAGAACACCATGTCTGCAGACTTTACGAGATTCACTCGGTTTCCAAACAATGCCTGCCAGAATGTTACCGTGTATGTTACTCTCCATTTCCACTGGCCATACGATGGACCATTCGATTACAGGCAAAAAAACGGATGCGACTGGAATTATGCGTAACAACTATGACGTTCTAATTAGTTGCACTGGCTTTACCAATATTAAACAATTAGTAATATCTATTAAGAATCGTATACAGGCCAACACTTATTACAGTGTTTTTATTCTTAGTGAATGTCCTTTTGAAACGATTAAGGAAAGATTAATTTGTACTGCAAAATTTATCATTCCATATCTCAGCAACAATTACCACCATGAAAAAGAGTTAATATTGGCATACAAACATCAGGTGGAGATCATACCGATTATCGATGTGGAAGACTTTAGCAGTCAAACTCAGGATCCGTTTATAAACTTTATTCTGCATCAGCACAATTCATCGGTTACCACTATTAATAATTCAAGCGGCTTATTATCAGGTTTTAAAAGAAAGAAGGGAGGTGAGAATATGTGGAACTTTTTCTAGGAGACAGCTATAGAGTTGCGGTTTGCAGCATTGGATAGAATTAACAGTGTAAGAATAAGTTATGTAATGTTATATATTCAGGATCTAGATTTGAAAAGAAACCTTGCAAAAAGATGCAATGTTTTGGAAAAAAGTTTTACCGAAAATTGAACTATTTTCCAACTTTATTTCGCTATACTTTTCAGGAAAACACTTTGGAAAAATTATGTCTGTTCAGAAATTTCTTTACAGTTCGCTCTGTTCGATAGTATAAACTGCAAGACTCGGCTTCTTCTAGTGAAAAGTCACAAGTATTCGCACTTATTACTTTTTCTAGTACAAGAACAGAACACAGTGGATGCGTCAATAGCGGCAATAATCAACACACTAAAAACTTGTTATTACCAAGGAAGGTCTTCATCTTCTTATCGAAACTTAAATCCCGTTAAACAAGAAATTCATGTAAGAGCAGAAAGTTTGGGAAGCCGTCAAAATTCACACTTTGACGACGTCAGTTCCCGAAGAGTATCCGCTCCCAGGAACTTTCGCCATGTATGATGAAGGTGCATTTGTCAGAATGACGATAGGATGGTGTGATGAAAGTGCCATATTCCCCGTGCGATACCTTTCGAAACTATATGATAGTTGTATACAGTAGCTCACAGAAATGTCAACAAACTTGTAACTTGCTAAATTAAACAAATTAACAAAAACACTCGATCATAAAAGTTGCACAATGCGGCATCATTTTGCTTGTTTATAACTTGGACAGCTTTGAACCAGTGAGAAAAAATTTAAAAACGTCTGGATTATACCAGATTTTTACACCTGTAATACCTTTTTTAAGTGGCCGATCACTGTCCGAACCGGACCAGCCTTTAGATAAAAACGGTAGCTACGTACCGCTAGGATCTATCTGCTGGTCTGTTAGAACCCTCTGAGATTTTCTCAAAATCTGCTTTTCTCTAACATAGTAGGTCTTACATTTAGGCCGCTGGTCCAACTTCTCAAGATCTTTACGATGCTTGCAAACAAAATGATAGTTCCACTGTTCAAAAATTTCTTCCACTAATGACAATCGAAAGTATAGATCGACCAGTGACAGGTGGAAGTACATCCCTGCATGTAGCAGCATACTATGGACATAATGACCTTGTCAAGTTACTTCTCGCTTCTGGTGCATCAGCTACACAACGTAATATCGCACATGGTTTAACCCCTTATGAAGAAGCTCGAACAGAAAGTACAAAAGCGTTATTTCGCTCGGAAAATCAGACTTACCGTCTTACAGCTAGCGATGATATTCACATTGAATGGTCTTCGATTTTTCACGACACATTAGAGAAAGCAACGTATATCCGACAGAAACTCTTACAGTTTTCGTCTGTTTACGATCAGAGCAGATATGGACCTAGATTTGAACTACAAGCACTAGTGACAGGAATACACACTTACATTGATACTTTACCTCTACTTAAGCGTGAACCAGAAATCGTGAAAAATTTCTTTACCAAGTTTTTCGAAACAAATGATCCAACGTTTATTCTAAAAGCATATACAAGCCCAAACACTAGCTTTTATAAATATTTAAATCAACACATTGCAATGTATGCTGTTGACTTTTTCGATTTTTCAACTGTTGATCTCAGTGTTGATTACAGAATCGTAAGGGTCATCCTCGATATCATAGCCATTATTATGCACGGCAAAGAATTTCACAGATTTCGATTTACAAACCAAGAAACTTATCGTGGCATGTTAATGACCGAAGAAGATTTGTATAAATACATTGTTGGTTCAACAATAATGAACAAATCATTTTTATCAACCACATTACGAAGAGAAACTGCTGAGACGTGGAGTGGTGGTGACTTAGAAAGTTTCTTAAGGAAAACACCCGATCATAAACCCATTCATATTGCAACTCTGTGTACGTATATAGTGAAGAATTTGGAAACAGCTTTGGACATACACACTTTGTCAGAAGCGTCTGCAGACGATGAGCAAGAAGTACTGATTTTACCATTCTCAGTATTTGAAGTGAAGAATGTTATACGAAAAGCGCCGAACAAGGTTGAAATCGTATTGGAAGAATATGTGAGAGATCAGACATTCTTGAATCTAAGCTTATAGGATTCTAAATACAAAGTGTTTTGTAATTCACAGTACAGTGACAGTGAAAGACTCTGAAATTCTAAATGTTGTGGAATTGAAAGTATAGTGACAGTTTGAAATTCACAATTTCTAAGATTCTAAACGTTTGGTATTCACAATATAGCGACACTGTCAGATCCTGAGATTCTGAAATTAGAAAATTGTAAATGCTTTGGAGTTCATACTTTAGTGACAGTGTGAGATTCTAAAATTCTGAAACTCTGACAGTTCTGGAATTCTGGGAGCTCCGGAATCTTCTGGAATTGAAAGTATGTTAACATCGTTGAATTCTGAGATTCTAAGATTTTAAATTCTACATGTTTTCGAATTCACAGTGTAGTGACAATGTGCCATTCTGAGATTCTAAATGTTTTGGAATCCACAGTATACACACGTTTTTTGGCTAAAAACGCGTTTAAAACGCAGAAAAAGGAGCGTTTTCTCTCACAGTCGGAAACCGCGCTTGTGAGCGTAACACGCCCCCTTTTCGCCGATTTTTTAGCTTCTTTTGGGCGTTTAAATGCGTTTTCAAAAATTCATGTCTGCCTGGGAAGAAGATAGCAATTAATAGAAAATTAATCAGCGGACAGCATATAGAAGAAGAATATATATGTTGTGGCCAAACTTAGAATTCGGTCAGATTCCGAATTTGGCCGGCCGAAACTGGAATTCTACTTTTGACCGGCTAAACTTAGAATCTAAACGGCCAAAACTGGAAGTCTAACTCTGGCTGGCTAAATTCAGAATTTGACGGGCCAAAAGTTGAATTTTAATTTTGACCAGGTCAGAATCGAAATTTGGAATTATTATTATTATACTATTATTATATAATATTATATTAATTATTCATTCAACATAGTTTTCTTACATTTCATGAATAATGGCTTATTCAGAGGTGTAATATGCGCAC